ACTGGAAAGGCAAGAACAAATGAAACCCAAACCCAGCAGAAGAGAAGAAATAACAAAAGTCAGAGCAGAAATTAATGAAATAGAAACAAAGAAAACAATACAAAAAATAAATGAATCTAAGAGCTGGTTCTTTGAAAAGCTAAACAAGATAGACAGATGTGGGGTCTCTCCCTCCCCTCGTGGGTCGTTGGTCACCAGTCCAGTCCACAAGGACAAAGGGAGCAGAAGCGACAAATGGGGTCAGGACGGCCAGTGAGCATGACGGAAGAAAGCCCTTCTGGGGAGGTAGATTCAGAGATACAGCTCCATTTATTCAGTGGGGGTCAGGGAAAATACAGTGTGGAGGCAGCAGCCAAAGCTTCAGCTGATAGGTGCTCATAGTATGCTTTATTTACATGTGGTAGGGGGACCCTATCATTTGCCTATAGGGCAATATCTAATTATCATACAGAAAAAAACCTGGGTGTAGTTTTATTGCAGGTAACTATGCCAAAGGTCATGTTCTAAATAAGGTCAGGCATCCTTGCTTGGAGGCACTTTCCAGGTAAGTCAGGCAGTAAGCCCCTGCTGAGAAAGGAGCTGACCTTAACAGCAGGGTTCTCCAACAGACAGACCCTTAGCCCAGTTAATCAAAAGAAAGAGCAAATCTAAATCAACAAAATCAGAGGTGAAAGGGGAAACATCACAACAGACACCCAAAAGATCCAGACCATTATTAAAGGAATATTTTAAAAACCTATACGCTACCAATTTTGAAAATCTAAAAGAAATGGAATGATATCTAAAATCATGGGACCCACCAAGGTTAAACCAAGAAGAGATCAACAGTTTAAACAGATCCGTAACATATGAAGAAATTGAAATAGTAATACAAAGCCTCACAACTAAAAAAAAGCCCAGGCCCAGATGGATTTACAGCAGAATTCTACCAGACATTTAAAGAAGACCTCCAACCAATACTACTTAAATTATTCAAAATGATAGAAACAGAGGAAGAACTCCCAAATTCCTTCTATGAAGCCAGCATCACTGTAATACCCAAACTGGGTAAAGATACAACTAAAAAAGAAAATTATAGACTTATATCTTTAATGAACATAGATGAAAAATTCTCAACAAAATACTTTCAAACCACATACAGACACACATCAGAAAGATCATTCACCATGATCAAGTCGGCTTTATCCCAAAGATGCAGGGATGGTTCAAATTATGCAAGTCAATAAATGTCATTAATCATACAAATGGACTCAAAGACAAAAACCACATTGTCATCTCAATAGATGCAGAAAAGACTTTTGACAAAATTCAGCATGCATTTGTGTTCAACATGTTAGTAATTAGGGAAATGCAGATTAAAACCACCCTAAGGTATCACCTTACCCCAATCAGACTGGCTAGGATCAAGAGAACAAATGATACCAAATGCTGGTGAGGATGTGGAGAAAGGGGAATGCTCATTCAGTGCTGGTGGGATTGCAAACTTGTGTAGCCTCTATGGAAAACAATGTGGAAAACTCTTTAAAAAACTAAAAATGGGGGCTGGAGAGATGGCTCAGCAGTTAAGAACACTGGTTGTTCTTGCAGAAGACCTGGGTTTGAATCCCAGCACCCACATGGCAGCTAACAGCTGTCTGTAACTCCAGTCCCAAGGGATCCGAAAGCCTCTTCTGACCTCTGTGGGCATTGCAGGACACGGGTGTACTTACCTACATGCAGGCAATATACACATACACATAAAATAAAAATAATAAAATTTTTAAAAAGACAAAAATAAACTAAAAATGAACATATCATATGACCCAGTTATACACTCCTTAGCATACACCCAAAGAACTCATCCTATTGTAGAGACACTTGTACAACCATATTTGTTATTGCTGCTATTTTCACAATAGTTAAGAGATGGAAGCAACCTAAGTGCCCCTCAATTGATGAGTAGTTAACAAAAATGTGGTATATTTACACAATGGAGTTCTATTCAGCAGTAAAGAAAGATGAAATAATGAAATTTGCAGGTAAATGGATGATCAAGAAACTGTTATACTAAGTAAAGTAACACAGACTCAGAAAAATAAATCACGTATGTTCTCCCTCATATGTGGATCCTAGCACCAAATCCTTTTAAATTTCAGGAACTTTTAATAAGATGATGCTATACAGCAGTCCCTTCTGCATGAAATAACTACCATCATCACGACTTCAGCTGAGCCTGATCGCTAAACATCATCACAATTGGGCTTGTTGATGATTTGTGCTCATTCATTAAAGGAGGGCCAAGCAGGGTCATTGGACTCTCACCGCATTATCCAGCCACTCTTCCCAGCCAACTGTATGTAATTTGACCCTAATTGCATATGGCCTCCTACATTTGGGGAGGGCTAAAGTATACAATCTTGGGAAGGCTAGGAGAGAAGGCATGACCCATGCTGGGTAAAGACTTTCCAGTGTGCATACCCTCAGGTCATACATACACCTCAGCAACCTCTCAGTTATCTCAGTAAGTAAGCTCAATAAATTCATTGGTTCCCCAGTAAAACTTTAATCAAACATTGACTCGACACTAGAAGCTTGAAGGGAATAAGCACTGCTTACCATCCCCAGGAAAAGAAGTCTCACAACAGATGGAAAATTTGTTAATGCTATCATGTCTCATAATTATTTTCAAAAAAAGAAAATGAGAATGTAAAAGATTTTAAAAGGATATGGGAAAGGAGATATTGACCAAAATAGAAAAAATGAGAAAGCCTAAGCAAGTGATGAAGGTCTATTTAGGTTTGTTATGATACAGAGGAGGGTCAACTCAGGAAACATCTTATTCATGCTTCAAGGGAAGACAGACATGGTCAAGCAGGACCTTTGACTTATCTTCACATAGAAAGGTGCCAGGACCTTAAATATAAAAATAAATTGATTTATTTGAGCTAACTGTATGGTCTTAAACATCCAAAAGGAAAGCATAACCAAAAAGTAAAGTCATCAGTATACTTTTAGAGTTCAAGGGATTACACTTCCCAGACATTAGGCTTAAGTCTATATAAAGTTATTTAGACAATTATTTCTTACTGACGATTTTGTTCCTAACCAGAAAGTGCTGCTCAGATGTAAGACTTCAAATCTTGGTCTCCAATAATGTAGTGCCCGCCCGTAGACAACCAGCTATTGTTCTAAAATGATGGATAAATTTGTTTTCTCCCCCTATCTAGAAGCCTTTGAGAGGGAAATGACACTGATTCTAACCACTCCAACACCTATCAAAATACCTGAAAGCAAATACTGAATCCATCACTCTGGAATCCAGCCTTGGAAGACAAAAGAAAAATGAGGAGGAATCCAATAGAGGGATGTTTTTGGAAACCCTTGTCAAGAAATTCCAGTGGACTCTCATATGAACATTTGAAAATTGCCGTCCTGACTTTTTTCTAGCTCCCTGTCTAGAATTTGTAATGCTAATTACTCTTGCCTTTACTTCTCCTTCACATCTCCTATTCACCAGCCAAGGACCCCCCCCACACACGTAGATAAGTGCTATGCAATTTGGGAGTCTTTTAGATAGAGCCACTGAAGGGGTACTCCACTCCAATTGCCTCACTGTGCGTCAACATGGAAGAAGCCAGAGCGGTCTGTGTCCTGATTCCCTATTGGTAATTTGGGGATGGTGTGATAAGAATAAGGAGGACTGTGTGTGGTGGTGCACGCCTGTAGTCCCCAGCACTTGGGAGGTAGAGGCAGGCGGATCTCTGTGAGTTCAAGGCCAGCCTGGTCTACAGAGTGAGTTCCAGGACAGCTGGGGCTACAGGGAGACCCTGTCTTAAAAAGACCAAGGATGGTGTGATAAGAATAGGAGGTAGGAATTCACTAGGCAGTTAGGGTAAAAAGACCCCAAAGAAAAGTAACCAGTATCTTGGCTAAAACTCACAATGTCCTTGGGGCTCTTAGCAACCTATTCCATTCCAAAGGCCAAAAATGTCAAAAATATTTGGGAGCTTTTATCTAATCCTTAAAATATTTTAGCGTTACCTCTAGGGTTACCTCTTCAGAGTAGGGAAAATGTCAGAACAGCCAAAAGCCCTATAAAATAATAATGAAAGAAAGATAATGTGAAGTTATCAGAAAAAAGTGATGGGGAGGTCTGGATGGAGTTGGAGGGGAGATAATGAGCATGAATTTGGTCAAAACACCTTATATGCACATATGAAATTCTCAATAAATTATTTATTTAAAAGAAGACAACAAAAGGGCTAGTGGCGCACACCTTTAATCCCAGCAGAGGCAGGCAGATCTCTGTGAGTTCAAGGCCAGCATGGTCTACATAGTGAGTTCCAGGTCAGCTGGGGCTACAGGGAGACCCTGTCTCAAAAAGACCAAAAAATAATAAATAAATAAATAAATAAATAAATACCAAAAAAAAAAAGAATATTTATTTTTATTCATGTGCAGTATGACTCCAGACAGGACCCAAAGAGGAGGTGTACAGTCGCTTCTCTGGTTTTTTGGAGAGTTCCTTTACCCTTCTGTGTTGGCCTCTTAAAGTACTGTGTCAACCTTAAAAGGGCACAAGAAAAGGCAAAAAAAAATTTTTTTTTTTTTTTGGTCTTTTTGAGACAGGGTCCCCTTGCAGCCCCAGCTGGCCTGGAACTCACTAAGTAGACCAGGCAGGCCTTGAACTCACAGAGATCCGCCTGCCTGTGCCTCCCAAGTGCTAGGACTACAGGTGTGTGCCACCAAGCCCAGCAACAAAAATATTTTTATTAGCCAGGCATGGTGAGCCTTTAGTCCCATCACTTGGGAGGCAGAGGCATACAGACTTCTGTGAGATGGAGGTCAGCCTGGTCTATATACCAAATTCAAGGCCAGCTGGGGCTATAGGAAGACCCTGTCTCAAAAAAAAAAAAAACATTTTCAGGTTTACAGCCTGTGTTTTGTTGTGACTAACATGTGGATTCTCAAAATACTCAATGATATGCGCTGCATAGCTGCATGCCTACAAAATTCACATGAGGAAGCTTCGGCATTTATCTGGAAAACGGCAGAGCACATAAAGTCGAGAACTACTCACTCATGTTTAAGGCAGCCATTCCTCCTTGTGGAGCTGCGGGGTAGACATTTGGTACATTCGCGGTCATGAAGTCTGCAATCTGCTGTAATGCCAACAGGCCCGTGGGATTTTTCCCCTTCTTAAACTGTTCTTGGATCATAGATTCCAGTTCTTCGCAGAAGGCCTAAAATGCATATTTAGTTGGTCAACACCATGCTGGCTTTGGGAGAGTCAGAACTGGGATGACTATCACATAAACGTTTTTGTCCAGGGCTAGGATGGCAAATAACCACCTCATACCACTGTTGGGAATATGAGCTGGTATATTCTGTTTGGTAAGTAATTTAACAAAATAAAAGCTTAAAACTTAGAACAGAATTTGATTCATAGAAACCTATTTTAAGGAATTAATCAGGAATGTGTGTGAAAACTTTTAAGGTCATTCATTTCAGCACCGCAGATAAGAGAAAGGTGGTCCACATTTCAAGAAACAGAGAACTGACTTGATACACTGGGAATTCCACAGATTCATTCAACATGAAAAGCTTAAAAATCTAAATGATAAGCTGGGTGTGGTGGCACACGCCTTTAATCCCAGAACTCAGGAGGCAGAGGTAGGCGGATCTCTGTGAGTTCAAGGCCAGCCAGGTCTACATAGTGAGTTCCAGGACAGCTGGGGCTACAGGGAGACCCTGTCTCAAAAAGACCAAAGAAAAACCAACCAAACAAACAAACAAAAAAACCTAAATGATATAAAGTTGTTTTTGTTGTATTTTTTAATGAAAAGGTAATATAGCCTGTTTTCTTAAGAGAAACCAGAAATGTGCCAGGAGAGGAGAGGAGAGGAGGGGAGGGGAGGGGAGGGGAGAGAGAGAGAGAGAGAGGAGAGAGAGGAGAGAGAGGAGAGAGAGAGAGAGAGAGAGAGAGACCAGAAATCTAAACATAGGAAATGATTAAAAGTAAATATAGCAAAATGACCATTATAATTCTTAGTGATGGGAGTGTTAATAATATTAATATTCTACTTTGTGCTTTCTAGTATTTTCTCCAAAATAGGGAATTATTTTGTTAAAGTAGAGAAAGAAAACTAGCATGGTGGACATGTCTCTAAATCCTACCAACTTGGGAGGTGGAGGTAGGCAAATCAAGAGTTCAAGGTCATCCTAAATTACATAAACAAGTTCAAGACCAGCCTGAGCTGAGTTACATGAGATCCTGTTTAAAAACCAACCAACAATAAAAAAGTAATATCCAAAACTAATTTCAAGGATGAAATATTTTGGTGGGTGTTTTTTAACTTTTAAAGATTTAATGTGTATGGGTATTTTACCTACATATGTGTACAGTGTCTGCAGAGGCCAGAAGAGAACACTGATCCCTTGGAACTAGAGTTATGGATGGTTATTGGACACCATGTGAGTGCTGGAAACCAAACCTGGGTCCTCTGCAAGAGCAGCAAGTACTCTTAGCCACTGAGCCATCTCTCCAGCCCCTCAATTTTTTAAATAGTATTTTCAATGAAAAACTGACATTTTTTTTCTTCTTGGTCTTTTTGAGACAGGTCTCCCTGTAGCCTCAGCTAGCCTAGAACTCACTATGTAGACCAGGCTGGTCTCAAACTCACAGAGCCCGGCCACATCTGCCTCCCAAGTGCTGGGATTGAAGGTGTGCACCACCACACATGGGAAAAAAAAAAAACATTTCTAATTTAAGGATGGTAATAAAAAAGTAGACTTGACATTCAGTAGTTAGGCAAAGTATTTACACTGAGTTCCAGTTCCTCTTTTTTAGGTAATTGTGATTATCAATTTTAACTGCCAATTTGATTAGACCCAGCATCCACATGGCAGCTAACAACTGTCCGTAACTTCAGTCCCAGAGGATCTGACAGCCTCTTCTGACCTCCATGGGCATTGTACGACATGGGTGCACTTACCTACATGCAGGCAATACATGCATACACATAAAATTAAAAAATTTTTAAAAATTGCCAGGCGTGGTGGCGCACGCCTTTAATACCAGCACTTGGGAGGCAGAGGCAGGTGGATCTTTGTGAGTTCAAGGCCAGCCTGGTCTACATAGTGAGTTCCAGGACAGCTAGGGCTACAAGGAGACCCTGTCTCAAAAAGACAAAAAAAAATAAACTAAAAAAAAAAAAAATTGCCTGCTTAGGGCTGGAGAGATGGCTCAGTGGTTAAGAACACTGACTGTTCTTACAGAATACCTGGGTTTAAATCCCAGCACCCACATGGCAGCTAACAACTGTCCGTAACTCCAGTTCCTTGTGTCTTGCCTGGGTCCCCTCCATTATGCCTCTATCTCTTCTTTCTGTTCACCAAAAAGTGAAGACCTGCCTTCACCACACATTCCTGCCACCATGATGTTCTGTCTGAGCATGGAGCCAAGGTAAACATGGTCTGAACCCTCACGACTGTGACATCAAAACTAACTACGTTTCCTCTTGTAAGCAGTTTCTGTCAGGTTTGGTCACAGAAACAGAAGATAACTAATTCAGTAAGTAAGCCTCCTATTGCCTGACATAAGGTGTTCTGTGCTGCTGCTCTGGAATCGCTCTGGCCCATACGCCAAAGGAATGGACCAAGGTGATGTTTATACACACTTCCCTCACAGTAATCAGCCTAACAAAACAAAACTTTATATTCTAGGTAGTTGCAGATGTACAGAAAAGTTGCAAAGATAGAACCAAACTTTGTTTCCCTTGTTGCTAACATCTTATATTACCAAGTACAGCAAGCAAAATGAAGGACCCAACACTGGTTGTCCTTTTGAAGAAAGCCAGGTTTTACCTGGTTCCAACTTTCATCATCCTGCCCTTCCTTTCTGCTCCTGGATCCTATGCGTGTAGACCAGTAAGACCGATACTTCCTGTGTTTTCAACATCCTGCTTTCATATCCCATGGGTAACTATATATAGTAATAGAACCAAATCAAATGTTGGAGACTTCACATTGTCTTGTTTACTGCTAAGTCACCAATTCTGACCCATTTGTCCTCACAGCATACAAGAGATGACCAACATCACTTAAAAATAAATAAATAAATAAATAAATAAATAATGAGGGCCTGAAAGATGGCTCAGCAGTTAAGAGCACTGGCTGCTCTGGCAGAGGACCCAAGTTCAGTTCCCAGCACCCACATGGCAGCTAACAACTATCCAAAACTTCAATTCCAGGGGGTCTGATGCCCTCTTCTGACATCTACAGGCATTGCACACATAATACACTTACATTGTACAAGCAAGCAAAACATTCATATACATAATATTTATTTTAAAAAACCAATGATACTTCCCCAATATATTGAAGGGACAAAGCAACAACAGATTAGAAGGAGAAAACCCATGAAGCACAGACGAGCACAGCAGCATCAACACAGTGGCTGAGGAGAGGACTACATCATCCACAGATGCATCTGTGGCTTATAATACTGACTGTAACAAATCAGGTGCTATTAGCTAGGTATGATCAAGACCAAGTGAGGGTCATGCTGAATACCCTTACCCAAAATATCAAGGGGCAGAATCAGAAGCAGTTCAGATTTTGGAATACTTAGAATTTACCAGTTGATCATGCCTAATTCAAAAATCTGGAATGCTCTCAAATCTAAATGTTCTGACTAACATAATAATGCTGAAACGTTTCAGTCTTGGAATCTGGATTATGGATGCTTGACCTGAATTTTGTAGAAACAGTGAGTTTTACATTGTCCCACTTTTTG